CTTTCTTTCTTTCTTTCTTTCTTTCTTTCTTTCTTTCTTTCTTTCTTTCTTTCTTTCTTTCTCTTTTCTCCTTTCCTTCCTCCCTTTCTCTCTCTCTCTCTCCCCCCTCTCTCTTCCTCTCTTTCTTTCTCCCTCCCTCCCTCCGTTATTCCTTTGGAAGCCAAATTTCTAAAAGTTTTGCAGGTGTCTTAGTTTTTGTGAGTTAGAGTACATTTTGCCTGAGTCTGGATATCTTTTGAGATTAAAGGAACTTTCTTGATCATGATGAAATTTCTTAATCATAAATTTAAAGCTTCAAAATTAGAACAAAATGTAAAAATGTAAAAATGTGTTTTAAGGATATTGCATAACAAATTATTTTTCTCACTCAATCATCTAATTCTATTAGCCATAATTTTGGAGGAAAAAAGAATGTTCACCAGTGATCTCCAGGGATCTGTGGAGAGGCTAAATCATAAGTTACCTTAAATTGCTCTAATATTAAAGAAATATCAAAAATCTTGATTTTTAAAATTGCCCTTACTCTATTGTTCCTAAAAAGAGAAAGAAACAGCATCATACTGTTCACCCGAGTGGTTTGGAGCATTTAAGATATGCTAAGTGAGATAAGGCAATTTATTGTTCTCCCATATTTTGATTCTTTTTTTGCTATATGTAATGTTAAGAATCACAATAAATATTCTTCAATAGAGAGTTGTATTAATGATCTTTGGATTAAATCTCAAGGTTCATGATTTGCACATTCTATGTTTCTGTTCTATCTCTGCACTTCAGAACTTATTGCATTAAAATTAATATCAGGGCAGGGAAAATATTAAACTGAGTTCACAGATATTCTTAAAATTTCATTTTAGTTCAGCTCTAGTTCTTAAATGTCATGTGTGAATTTTGTTCATGTTGTATTTCAAAAGAGAAATGCATATTATCATCAGTACTGCTTTTTAGTTACTTCTACGTTAGAACCAAAGCAAATTAAAAACATGGTGCATTTGGAGCTGTTGAAACCTGAAAGTGATTTTGAACAATGTGGAAGGAATACATGAAAGATTCATGAAACATTTATTAAATATTCTATTATTTATTATCATCACCCTCAAATGCTTCTTCGGTAAAGACCTCTTTGATTTTTCCGGTACAAATATATTTTTGGAGGAGTTCTAAGTTTTCAGGTGTTTTGTTGACGAGTTTAGAACAACTCTGATTTTGGGTACTCTCTTGCTGTCTGTGATGGACAGGTTTTAGTAACAGATTTAGGAAGACTTTTTAAAATGTACCATGGCTTACTGGATATGTACATACCATATTAATACAGCTAATGAAAGACTTCATTTTGTGATGTTGTTGTCTAATCTCGATGATACAGCATGCTGGATGACGTCTGTTTAAGAAGCAAAGCATTAAAGATAATCTTCCAGAACTTTGTGTCCTGCTTCATAAGGAAGAACTTTGAAAGGTTATTAGAAGTCTGGGTGCTACATCTAAGAGACACTGCTTTGGCGGACTAAATAGTTGATGCATATCAAGATTATCCAACTGTTAACATGTCAATTTATTTCCACTAACAGTAGGGGCGCCACTTTTAATATGGTGGCGTTCCTAGGTTTGAGAATTTAACAATATCAAAGCTTTGTAAAACTTTGTCTTTTTAATATCAGTGACTCCAGTTGTGTTGTTGTGATCATACAAACACACAAAGCATTTTTGGAAGTTCCACATTAATTTCCTATACTTAGATGTTTTATATTACTTAGGTTGTGGCTACTTATTGGAAGGAAGATTTATATTAGCTTTTATAAACATTCACTTGTATACATTTTTCCATTCACATTTACTCAGGCTAATAAATTATCACTACATTCTCATTGTAATTACCCAGATTAATAACATCATGCTTTCATTGAATTAAAAAGTTTGTGGTAAACCATTCCTATTATCATTTTTAGTAAACACCCTGGAAATTCCTCTTGAATAAAATCTCTATAGGATTGGCTTCTAAATCAGCATGCTGGCATTTAAGATTTAGTAAATTTAAAGTATTTGGTGAGCAAGTATTTGGTTGCCTATTCCTTATTTGATAAACCTATGCAAGCATAAAATTACTTAAGCAATCAGTACACTAAGCTTCTCTATATCTTTTTTTTGATACTGAATGATAAATAGTAAATGATATAAATGATCTTTCAAGAATGAAAAAATAGCTGACTCATTTTAGAAGTACGGTTTGACATTGCGTAATGGTATGAAACAGTGCAAAATATAATCTTAGTGGGACAGAAATATGGTTGACGTAAAACAGACAGTGTGTCCAAGAGGTGATAAGAAATTTGATAATGTATTTTTTCCTCCAGGATTAGAAGTACAGAAGGTTGAGATACTATTTTATTAGACTAAAGGACTTTAGGCAAGCCAATAATCTCTCATCTCATCTATCTTACTAAGATCTTGATGAATAATTTTGAACAATTTCTGAATGATATTGCTGATAAATTCTGACCAGAGTAATATAAAATGTTAAGCATGAATTGGGTTTTCTTGTGTTAGGAAATACAAACATAGGTTTGAGGATTTCATAATTCCCTATCAATATTTGACAAACCAAACAGAATTCATTGTGATTAAAACTCTATGAAGGAATCTTGTGTTTAGATAGAAATCTTGCTTTGAAGACTTAAGATAGTAGATTAATTAAAAACTGATTCTAGTCATTTCCAAAAAATATTACAAGCTATTTCAAGGAAATGGAGAAAATATGTAGGCTGAGTACATTTTTTTCTTGGTTTGAGAATTGGATTACATGCTGTACAGCTTTTCAAGAACTTAATTCCAAAGTAGGTAGGACCAGACTCTATTTGGGGCGTGGGGTGTTAGGATTACGATCCATTCCCCAATCAGTCATTTTATCTCTTAATAATGGGAAAAAAGAGAAAGGCCCTAATTTTTTGGTACCACTCCAAAGGGCATAATGGCAAGCTGATTTTGCATTACAATACAATAGCAGAGTTGGAAGGGACCTTGGAGGTCTTCTAGTCCAACCCCTTACCTAGGCAGGAAATCCTATACCGTTCCAAAACAAATGGCTGTCCAACATCTTCTTAAAGACTTCCAGTGTTGGGGCATTTACAACTTCTGGAGGATAGCTGTTCCACTGATTAATTGTTCTAACTGTCAGGAAATTTCTCCTCAGTTCTAAGTTGCTTCTCTCCTTTCCACCCATTGCTGCTTGTTCTACCCTCAGGTGCCTTGGAGAATAGTTTGACTCCCTCTTCTTTGTGGCAACCCCTGAGATATTGGAACACTGCTATCATGTCTCCCCTAGTCCTTCTTTTCATTAAACTAGACATACCTAGTTCCTGCAATCATTCTTCATATGTTTTAGTCCCCGGCCCCTAATCATCTTTGTTGCTCTTCTCTGCACTCTCTCTCGAGTCTCCACATATTGTGGCGACTAAAACTGAACGCAGTATTCCAAGTGTGGCCTTAGCAAGGCATTATAAAGTGGTGTTAACACTTCACATGATCTTGATTCTATCCCTCTGTTTATGCAGCCTAGAACTGTTTTGGCTTTTTTGGCACCTGCTGCACACTGCTGGCTCATATTTAAATGGTTGTCCACTAAGACTCCAAGATCCCTCTCATTCCTGCTGAAGGAGATAAACTTAAAACAAATTCAAAGTTTGTGTGACCTACTGGTGTTGCATTAAAATCAGAATAAGGCAGAGGAGGAAAGTGTGTGTGTGTACAGAGGTAATTATGCAGATGCGTGTCACAGTGCAGGTAAAATAGGTTACAAATGACTTATCAACTAACAACTGTAATGTGGTAAAATCTCACCAAATTCCAAATTTGGCTAGAAGCATTTCTGACTGACTGAAATAACAGAAGCATTTTCTGTTAATCCTTTCCCAAGGCAGAATTCTTCACTGAATGAAAAAGAATAACAACCATAACTCCATAATCTATTGCTCTTCATTTGTGTTGAGATTACACTTCCTAGAATTCCCATTAATTGTAATCAGCCTAGGTGGGCTATTTCAGAGTAAGCAAGGCTGCCATTCACTTGGTATATTTTTAAGTAACATTTCATATTATGGCTAGTTTGTAAAACTGATCTAAATGTCAGGTACTTAAAATATTATTAGGATCAATAGCTGTAACTAATAGATACCTCTCTTTTTCCAAGAGTTGTACAGCTATTGTTTTATAATGCTTTTTCGTTTATCATAACATCACAATGCCTAACATTTTTATTACCTTAGAATTCTTTCATTTCTTTTGAAAAAAGCTGTGACAATTAAACTAGGATAACAAGTATGTGCAATTAATATGCTGAGTACTTTGGTTTTATTTTATTTTCTGCCCTAGATTGGTATTTGTAAAGTTTGGTACTTTGAAAATTTAACTCCTGTTTTAAGAAGTATGTTCATAAGTCAAAATTCTGATTTTGCACATATGATAATGACTGGTAGACTGAGGCCTCGTTATTTTGGAATAAGTCACTCAGGTATTTTAGGGGGCAAATGTGGTCGATACAGGTTCTGTTGGCAAACTTAGGAAATCACCTTCTACATTTGAAAAAAATGTATATAAACTATATGTACTAGTGAGAATGCAATTTTTAAAACTGTTCTTAGCATTTCTGTCATATACTATAGTCTAGTACCACAATTCTATCTTGCTGTATTGCATATATAAATCAGTTCTTTTGTGATGTTGAACTATTCTCTTTTCAAAGTGGCTGTACTATGTCAAGTTTGGAGATCAGTATGTGGGCTTCCTAACTAGGCAGAGCATCTTTTACAACCTTATCTGAAACTTTGATGAACCATTATTAATCTCTATCTCTGAATAAAGTGCTTTCCATATTACTGAACCAAAGTAAAGCATTATAGTTGTGTGAATGACAGATTAAATCATCTGATGGGTAAATGTTCTCTGAATCTATTGCATGTGTGTTAATTTCAGGTGTTTGCTGCGTTCCTAATGACCAGAATGCCTGGAAGTAGGCAGAAAATGAACAGCTCTAGTGTTCTAACCTGCATCCTTGGGTATTCAATTCATTAGACTTAAGATATTTATGCAGAGGGCTGCCTTTCAGCCCTTAAAAGATGATGGGGTGGTATACATTCCATCCTTTTAAATCCAACCATTTTTATTTATTTTATATATTTTTTAAAAAAAAGAAAAATAAGAAAATCCAGGTAGGTTCTTGTGCATTTTCTTATATGACAATTTCTTTGTTTGTCTGACTGTACCAAATGATATTCTGTAAACAATGTTTTTACTGTAATGTATTCTAGGACCTAATCACTGGAAGGAAATTTTCCCCATTGCTGATGGAGACCGTCAATCTCCCATTGATATTCACACTGAAGAGACTAAATATGACCCCAACCTGCTTCCCCTCAGCCCCAGCTATGATCCTTCCTCTGCTAAAGTCATACTCAATAATGGACACTCCACCAGTGTGGAATTTGATGACACTGAAAATAAATCAGGTTTGTTTTCTAGCAAATCTGTCTGATTTAATCCTCTAAATTATATCTAAATTATAAGGCAGCTATTCTCCAAAGAAGATCCTTTTACCTTATCACTTGAGGGACTTTCAGTTACTTGTAATTGTCTAAATATGTTTGCATTCAAATGAGCTGTCCACATCTTTCTTGAATATGATTTTATCTGATTGGGTACAGAAAATTGGATAGCTTCCTAAAAGCCCTATTTAAAGTGGGCTAAATTCCTTTCTCAAACATGGCTTTCTCTCATCTTTGGCATTGTTAGTTTTATGTTGCTCTCATTTCATGGGAACAGTTCACATTTCCTTTGTAGTCACAAGAGTTTTTTTGCTTGCCTTTTTTCCCCTCTGTAGAGTGAATAGCAATTTTCAGGACAGTTATTTAGAAGAAAAAAAAAGCATGCAGGGGAGATGCTAGCTTTCTAGTGCTAAGCTGGAACCTATTTAACATTGAGAGATTCAATCATGGTTTTTTACATCAGTTTTGTGTTGGCCTTCAAGTAGTCTGAAAATATGCTTAAACATTAAAAGTTTCCCATTCTCTGTTTAACAATAAGAATTATCATTATTTTTTTACAGTGCTAAGTGGGGGTCCACTCACTGGAAATTATAGGCTGCGACAAATCCACTTCCACTGGGGGGCTAATGATGACATTGGTTCTGAACATACTGTGGATGGAGCAAAATTCCCAGCAGAGGTAAAGTACTCCTCTGATCTGTTCTGAAGCAACAGGATTTATTTTTGCAGCATAATTAAAGCTGTCCTTTCTGAGATGACTGGTGTGATTTCAACAGTAAAAAATATTAATTTCCAATGGTAAATTTTTACCATAGTTGCATGTGTTTGGTGCATGTGTTTAGTGATATTGGCCAACCAAAAATGTAGTTGGTCAAGTTCAGGCAGGAAAATATAACACTATATGATGAATTTTATTATTTAGTTGGAAAACTTTAGTTCCTAAAAAGTAAATTTTGTAATTTAAAACTGGTCTGGCTGGGACATTTTTACTGAATCTTGTAATATTGATCATATCCTTGATAGTAAATTCCATGGATTTCCATGGGAATTACTCCCAATCACATCTGCTTAGAATTGCACATCAGTGGGGTTTTCTTGAATTAAAACCTATGCTTTTGATTATTTCTGGTTGCTGTGGAAAGTGTTTTTGTGTGTTCTCAGTACCATTTCAATATTGCCTTTCATTTATGTTTAATGCACAGTATATTTTTAGTTATTATGCTACTAGGGCATTTGTAGCCCATTTTAGATTTATTGTCTCGGCTTGTCTTTGGACACTGAAATTTTTAAAGGAATGTACCTTTTGCCAAAAGCAGGTGGACAAACATGGGGAGTTATCCAATATTCTGACCCTCTCAGACACAACTGCTATGGATGCAAATTTTCCTTTAAAATATTCCAGTGTTCACTGTCCAGTGACATGGTAAAACTGTGGTGTAAAACATGGAGGCCCCAGAATTAATCAGCTCTTTGGGTTCATATTGGTGAACATCAGAACAAATAAAACTATATTGCAGGGGTGTCAAACTGGCTGCTGTGAACTGGATGTGTCACATGCAGGCCATGTCCACCCCTAGCTCTGTGAAGAGAGGGGAAAAAAATGACAAAAGTCATGTGATGGCAACATGATGCCGCGGGTTTGACACCCATGCTATATTGCATATCATTTTCTTCTTTGGGAATAACTATTGTAAAACTTTCTTGTCCACTGAAAATATAACTAGTATTCTAAAGATGCTCTGAAATAATAGGGCTTGACTCAATTTTTTGCATTTAAATTCCAAGATTTCCATTAGGTTTAATTTTTTTCTTCTTCTTTTCACTTCACTTCTCAGTACATGGGAAGTATATACTGATCTCAAATTGACCTTACGGTTTACTAAGCCGCCTAAGCAGCATAAACTTGCTGGAGGAAAATGCGGGTCAATTAAGCATCTGAGAATGCCTAACCTATAGATACTAAGCCTTTCCTTTTATATTTTTCCACAGTATTTGCGTCAGAGAGACTAAAACTCTTAGTAAAACAGATTAAAATGCTTTCTGTTGATGTTTTCAAAAAAACCAAGGGAAATAACACTATTTCCCTGTTGGCTGATTTATTGGTGTACTGGATGGGATTGAGACCATGCTGGGTGGAGATGAAGTGAGGTACATCTCTATAGAACCAAATTCAAACACTGTAAATGTTCTGTTTTTATAGTACTGTAACAATTCTTTCAGATAGAAAGTATAATCTGGTTACAATCTCTGCCAATTTATTTTAATGTGTTTTCCATGTTGAAATGGAATTGCAAAAATGCTAAATGGAAAAGGCATTACTAATACATTAACATTTCCAATGATTGCTTTTCTCAACATGAAGTCCTCAAAAAGTATAAATTGCTTCTAGTTAACTAATATTAAGAGGGACACTTTTCTGTGGTGTTTTTAAAAAAATATTTCTGAAATGGAATAGTAGTTTGAAATAGAAGCACATGTTTCTATAATGCAAGAACTGAAGATTCAGAGAAATAATTTCCTTGATAAAATAAAGGAAGATGGAAAAATGCCTAAAATTAATGGGGGGGAAATCATTTGGGGGGAAATGACATTTGCAGTGTTTAAAGACTTATGTTTTTCACAGGAACCAGGTGAGATGGAATATAACGAATTAATAAGAGGTGCTTAGAAAACAGATATATAGCTGGAAAGAAATAAGTTCCATCTAAGAAACCAAATGGAAGGAGAAAATATTTAAGAATGTTTAGTCAGTTTAAAAAGTTTTCCCTCTGCTGATTATCAAGAACCCACTAGAAACTCTCTTGATTGGGGGGGGAGAGACCTTAGATTTGAGAGAGTGTCAGGCTGATCATATGGTTGGAGACATGCCCAAAAGCTCAGTGAACAGATGTACGGTATTGAGATCCAGGAAGAAAACGCTCTTTGGCTCAAGAACGCACCTCTGCCAAATTGGCATATGCAGGAAGAAAGAGCTGCTCTTCAGACAGAAGACAACACTGTTCCTCTGGCAGATGATCTCTCTGGATCCAAAGTCCTGTTAATCTGAGGCAGCCTATCTCCTGGACCCAGGTGTTTCCAACAGGCTGCGGTACAGGACTGCTGAGGATGATGCATAAAAGAAACAGTCCTTAAAAGATTTCTCCAACAAGCTGTGGTTCAAGAGCGGTGGTAAGACAAGATACAGTACATTCATCCTTTAAAAGAGAAGCCACGGGCCATTGGGATGGGCCTCCCCCACAGTGTTTCAGGATTTTCTCGTGTCCTTTCTTGTTTGTTATTTTTCATTAATCTACAATAAAAGCCATTCCTGTTGAAAGCATTGGTTTCCTTTTTGTAAAATGTTCACAATATTTCAGGAGATATATATTGTCCAGATTTTTAAAGTGTGTGAGTGTTGACACCTTAAGATTCCAGATTAAGTGAACTGAGCCATTAGAACTTCTAGATTTTATTCATAATAATACTTTGCACCTACAAAGCAGCTCTCCTGCAAGGATGTTAAAGCCCTTGATCCAGTGCGTGTGAACCTAAGTATTTGTGAAAGCAAAATGAGGGTGGGAACACAGCTGGCGGGAGGGACTGGCATCTGCCACAGACTCTTATTATTTTTATAAACATGCCCCAAACTAGGACTGGCTAGAGTGGATCTTCAGAGCTTTGGACCAACGCGTGTGGAGCTTCCAAAGGACTACATGCATCAAGATGGCTTTTGGCTACTTGTAAAAAAAAACACCAATGACCTAGCTCCCAACACTCCATCATATGTTACATATGGCTAACTTCATAAAGTGATGATTAATTGTACTTGATTTCTTGCTTTTCAGCTTCATGTGGTGCATTGGAATGCAGATAAATACCCCAGCTTCGTTGAAGCTGCCCAGCAACCTGATGGGTTAGCAGTCATGGCTGTTTTCTTAAAAGTAAGGAAATAAAATGACAATTTTTTTTCATTTAAAATGTAGGATGCAAAAGATCAGACTATCCAGGGGTGGGCTTCTGGCGGTTCGCAGGGGTTCGGGAGAACCTCTAGCTAAGATAATGTGCAGTTCGGAGAACCCCCAAATCCCATATATTTCCTCTTTCTTTTTAAACTTTCGAGATAATTTTTAAACTTTCCAGATAATCCTTTTGCTGACAAAAGTTAATGATAAGAGCCAGTAAATAAAGTTTAAAGTCAATAAAACTTCATTTTCTCTCAGCCAAAGAAATGATCTTATATTTATATTTACAGTTGGGTGAATGCAATTCACAACTCAAAAAAATCACAGACGAACTGGATACCATTAAAATGAAGGTAAGGCAGACCAGGTCCTAGTTCTGTATATTCTTATTGGGATTGCAATGGAAGCTTTACTATTAAAAAAAACTGTTTCAGATCATAGATGGCAGACCTGTCTACACTTTTTATTGATTCACAGAGTTATGATTCCTTTGCTGGTAGTGTGGAAGACACAGAATCTCTATAAGTACAGATGATGAATCAAAATGCTAAATGTGCATGTTCTCTTTCCTGTTCCCCTCAGCTGCTTTAATAAGAGTACTGTGTAATAATTTCTAAGGTTCTCCATACAAATGAAGTGCTTTAAACCTCTCACAAGGACACTGTCTCTTGCCATTTACGGATAGTCTTTGTTTAACGGCCACTGTTGGGACTGGCAACTCCATTTTAAGCAAAGTGGTAAAACTGTAACGGCTCATGATCTTACTTCAGCTTTCCATTGCTTAACAGACCTGCGAAGATCATAAATGCTGTGATAAATCACAAAATGGTTACTTTTTCATCACTGTCATTAACGGCAAACAGTTGCTGTTCAAGGCAGTCCTAAATGAGGACTACCTTTAAAAGCATTAAAAGCTACCATATTTTGGCAGCAAAACATGCAAAACCTTTAAGTGGAAGTAGAGAGGATACAGAAAATGCTAATTCTGCCCTATAGGTATTGTCTATATATTTTCAGTCCAAATGTAAGAACAACCACAGAATAAATCTAAAAATCTCTATACTCATGGAGGCAAAACTGGAGAAGGAAAGGTATATTTTGGAAGCAGGAAGCATGTCACAGAAAGAAGAATCAACAGTGGAAGTTATATGCCACACAATGAGGCTGAAGAGGGCATTTGCTAATTCCTTCTATCTTTCTTTACTTTAGGGTAAACAACACAGGTTCACCAATTTTGATCCTTCCTGTCTTCTCCCTCATTCACTGGACTACTGGACATACCTTGGGTCTCTCACAGTCCCTCCACTTCTCGAGAGTGTCATTTGGATCATCCTTAGGGAACCTATAAATGTTTGCTCTGAACAGGTATGTTTATTTTCCCATTTGAAATCTCTATTTAAAGGAGTTCTCATGAAGGTTTGCCATTTGTTATATTTTGATATCAGGGGTCTACATGGATCACCTATTAAAATCCAACTATTAAAATCCAACTCAGTCAATAGAGAAAATATATCTATGTGACTTACAAGAGTCGACATTGACATATTTAATCAATCAATATTAACCATTAAGGTGCAAGTATAATTAAGAACTCCTCTATTCTATTTCGGTTCATTTTATTTAGGTGGCTTGTCAAAATTGTGAGATAGTAAATATGTTCTTGAGACTTGTACATGCTAAAAGTGCTTAAATGTTACGGTACAAATTAAATACATTCAGTTTATGTTTACAAATATTATGTAGGCATTGTTTCATAATAGCTCGTCATTCATTAACTCTGTTGTTGTTCAGTTGTTATATCTTTGTGGGGCTCAATTATAAATAATTGCTCATAAAAAAAGCACAGGGTTATACTAATATGTGTCACCAGGAAGAAAAGTATGTACATGTGGAGTGCATTTTTGCATTAATTCTTGCTGAATATTGTATCTTTTTTATCCACAGCTGGCCAAATTTCGCAACCTCCTGTGTACTGGTGAAGGAGAGCATGCCTATTGCATGCTGAAAAACTTCAGACCACCACAGCCTTTAAGGGGGCGGGAAGTAAGAAGAAATTAAAGGAAGGATAATTTGTGATAGTAGTTGACCACTGTTATGGATGCAAAACCCATTTAAAATATTGATCTTATTTTTAAAAAAAGATATTTTAATTTGAAGCTTTTATTTTTAAATTGTAGGAATTTTTATGGAAATATTTGTGAGTAGAGTAGAGTAGAGTAGAGTAGAGTAGAGTAGAGTAGAGTAGAGTAGAGTAGAGTAGCCATTATTATGATTCCTGACAATTACAATATACAATCTTGCCCCTACAATATAAATCCCAAATAAAAATCTAGGGGTTTGTATAAAATAACAGTAAATGCAAAGTATGTGTAAGTAGTGAGAAATAGAACAGGAACTAAAATACTTATATTTTAATATAAGGATAATCAGGATAATCAGGATATAACATCACTATAATAAATATCTTTATATAATGATAAATATTACTATGTTTTAGTGATACAATATTTTTGTTCAATTATTTGATTCACTATTTTAAATAGGTTTTTTTGCAGTTTGACTATGCTAGAGAGTCAAGGCACTCCCTTTTTATTAAGAATATAATTAATAACATAAGATGTAATTGGATTGCAATATGATATAATCAATCAAATTTATTCTGAGTTGTAGTTAATATTAATATTATATTTTGTGGTCTGAATGAGCGTCATGCTGTTATTTGATTGTGGTGTAGCATGTTAAGTTTGAGTGACGAGGATTCAATAGATGTAATTTAGGGTTTGTGAATGAAATGACCTAACTAGGCAGAAGATTAAATGATTTAGTCTTCCACTCTGGGATTCTAACAATTTGTCTTCAAAACATCCTAGGAATTGAAGAAACTCAATAGGAAATTATTCAGCTAATTAGACTAGAAAGCAAGAATAGCAAGACACTTAAAAAATTCAAACAACTAAAAATATAATGATGCAACATGTTTCTTTTTTAAAATCTTTTTATCAGTGATAAAACAAGGGTTTTTGCTTCCATTCAGAAGTGAATTTTGAATTGTAATGTGCTCATTGAGTTATATAATCTGTATGCTAATTGGTAGGTATTTGTACATAAGGTTGTGAATGATGATTTGGAGATGGCATTGTTTCATATTTTTTAAAACTAAGGGTCTTAATATTTTCATGCTATTTAAATAATTTCATTAAAGCATTGTTAAGGAGTCAGCAGCAATTTTGAATCAAGGCAAGGAGTAAATGAACAATATTGGTCTATGCTCTTATATTAGACATTTTTTAAAGAAACGTTTACTGACAATAAATTAAGTTTTCTTCTAACAGTGTGTTTAACCATTATTTCAAATAATAGCTAATCATTTTAATCTTTTCAAATTTACATATTTTTAAATTTGTACATATGGAAAGAGAGACTAATTGCTCTTAATTTAGCAATTGCAATAAAATATATGAAACTAGATCCAATTTGAAACTATAATGGGATTAAATGTAATTTTACAATTAAGAACAAGATTAATTGAACCACAATCAGCATTTTATTCTAATTACATTTTCCTGCAAAGTTCCTGTTCTGACCCCCCCTTCCTCGCTCGTTAACAGACAATAGTCAGACAGACTTAAAAGGAAATAACTTTATCAGTCTCGGCTCATGCTGGCTGCGATCCCAAAATAAACCTTGATAAAGTCTCTTTCAAACAAGGGTTACGCAGCAGAATGCAGAAACAAAACTCTTACAGCACCAGGTTTTCAGGAAGCAAAATCAGTTATCCAAGTGTCTCACAAACTCAAACAGGAACGGAACTGAATTCTCCATAAACAAACGACGACCCACGAATGAACGATGAATGTTGACTTCTGCAACCAGGGTGTGGCACCATCAGTCCTTTTATCTCCAGAAGACAATACTAGCGAGCCCCAGCTGCATTGTGATTCCTGCATCCCGACTCAACTCACAGCAAACTTCTGTTGTCACAACACTTCCCATTGAATGTAATGGAGCTCACTTTAGCATAGAATTCCATAAATATAGATAGCCTTGATTTGAGGCTCTTCCTCAAACACATGTTTATTTAGTTTTCAAATTAGAGTGCAGTCTGGGATCAATCAACAAACCCCCCAAAAATCTCAAAAAAACCCTGTAGTCTATTCATGAGGTTTAACTCCTTCCATTAAGCTACATCAGGAAAAATGCTGACTATGGTTCAGTTAATCTTTTCTGAGGCCAAGAAGATGTAGAAAAATATGTCTCTCAAGACATTCCATTGTTTTAAGGGGAATTAAAAATAGAGAAACGGGTCGAATCATGGAAAAATGCATGATA